CGAGCAGGATGGAGGTTGCCAAGGAGTTCCTTCCCGCACTGGGCGTCCGCCTGAATGCGGTTGACAGCTCCCATCCTTTCATCGGAAAAATGCCGCGGCTCGACGGGATGCGCAACGGCGGATCGCCGGTGGCGGTGGATGTGTCGCTTGCTGTTCTCGAGGCTTTTCTTGAGTTCTTCAAGTTCTTGTCGCAACAGAGCACTCCAGCACGACTCTGGATTGCAATTGGCGAGGATGTGCCACAGGCGGTCTTGGCCGTCATGGCGATGCTCAACTTTCACAAGTTTAGTGGGCTTCTGAACCTCGTCTTCTGCTGCGTGAAGATCACAGGCATCTTTGCCGTCCGGTGGCTCCTCCGGTGGTTCCCTGTGTACACATTCGACCCGTCTGCCATTGCGGTCATGGCGGCTTCACACGGCCTCGAGGTCCGAAATGAAGACGGTCGCACACCTTTGATGTGCGCTGCCGGCCTCGGGGACACAGAGATTCTGGTGACGCTTCTGAACAGCGGCGCAGACAAGGACGCGCAGGACAAGAATGGCGCGACGGCTCTCCACAATGCGGCGCGCCGCGGCAGCGCGGAGTGCTTGCGACTTCTCCTGGATGCCGGCTGGAGCAAGGACGTGCAGGACGACGAGGGTGACACGCCGCTCCACTTGGCCGCACAGTGCGGCAATGCCGGGTGCGTGGACTTGCTGCTCAAGGCCGCTGTGAAGAAGGACTTGCGGAACACAATCGGTGACACGCCGCTCCACCGCGCCGCAGACAACGGCCATGCCGGGTGCGTGGAGTTGTTGCTCGAGGCCGGTGTGGAGAAGGACTTGCGGAACACAATCGGTGACACGCCGCTCCACCGCGCCGCAGACAACGGCCATGCCGGGTGCGTGGAGTTGTTGCTCAAGGCCGGTGTGGAGAAGGGGCTGAAAGACAATGAGGGCAACACAGCGCTGGATGTGGCAAAAGATGATCCATGCAGGTCACTCCTCGAGAAGGCCAGCGGCTCCACGGGGACCTGACGAACGCCGCTGATCCGTTTCAAGGAGGTGCAAAGAAGCGAAGTGCCCTGTCGAGGAATGCTTGGGGTCGAGGGCTTTGGGGGTTCAAGGTCAGGTGTTGGGACTACTATGATTATCATAATAAAACTATTCAAGCGGCGGCGTAGTTTGGGTGTAAGACGTCGGTTGGAAAGTGCATTTTCTCGAGCTTGTTGCTGAATTCCAAAACTGTTGTTTAGCCAGTGCTTAGAGTCGCGCACAAATTGCGCGGCTCGGCGATGGCAAAGAGCCAGCAGACGCCAATTTGCCTGCCCTATAGTCGCATTTACGACATCTGCACTGCAAAGGCCTGTCATACTTAGTAATGAAGTTTATTTGGCGCCTACAGCTTAATTGTTCTTGCGCCGGGGAACGGCGCGGCCGTGCCCTGTGTTGCCGGGGTTCCTTCTTTTCTGCCCGTTTGGCCGGGGGACGGCTTGGCCGTATCCTGCGCTGCCGGGGCCTTCTTCTCTCGGGGGGAGGGACACGGTCTTCTCCCCCTGCAAGGATTCTCAGTACGATTGTTCTCATAAACTTAATTAAGTTTACGAGGGATGCGGCTGCTGTTAAGAATCCTCGCCAAGGTTTGTCCAAGAGTGGGTGCTGAAATGCTGAACGTTACACCGTGAGCCTTTAGTTGTTGTTGCATGTCGGAGTTGAATAAGATCGAGTGAACAAGTCATGGTAATTGCGACTAGTCGTGTTCAACAGTTATAGTTACAACCGTGCCGCTAGCAACACCAAGGGGTTTCCAGCAGCAGCAGTTGCAGCAGCACGCGGTCAGTTCGTTGGACAGTAGTCGCTGTGGTAGCAGCCGAACCTGCTTCAGTAACGAAGACGATGCAGCTGGAACTTCGTACCATGATATCAGAATCAAGATTCTGCCGATGTGTGGGTCATCCGCCTGTCCGCTGCCACAACAATTGCAGGTAAGCGATACTTAACGGAAGCATGTCGACAGCTAGTTTCCACACTTAGCCAAACCGAGAACCAAAAGCAAGGAACTCATACACGCGAGCTCATAAACGGCCTGTTTCCACTCGTCCACTCGCATCACATTACTCCCGAAACTTCCCAGCTCAAGACTTTACTCGCCAGTCAGCAATAGCATGCAGCACACATAACCCCAACCCAGCCCTTCAGACCCGGAATATCCAAGGGTGTCTATACTTTGCATTACTTTCCTCTCGCCATGGCTTGGGACTTCAGCATCGACGTCAGCAAGCCCCGGAAGGTGCCCAGGTTGCTTACGATAGCGTTTGCAAACGCACTTCACATGCATTCATAGCGGAGGCACTGAGCATGCACCATATGGACATGTGTCTGCAGCTTCCAGCAAGATTTGTTGGATTGCATGCAGGACCGCGAGAACTCATTCCTGAAACCTGGGCGCGGCTCAAGCTCGGGGTGACCTTTAGGCAAGCCAGGGTCGTTTACAAAATCCACGTAGTTACCTAACATACCATGGCATACGTGAAGTGCAGATTCTGCCTTCTCCTGTGGTTTCTCCACATCCTGGTGACGGAACAGAGACGTGCAGAAGATGCCTTTAGCCGTTTCAAGGCCGAAGGGTGTGACCTCCTTCATCCTATGGAGGGCCTGAAGTGGACAGATTCCCAGAAGTTGGGGAACGACACCGTTTACGTAGGCAACTTGACGGTGCCCTTGAGCCCTCATGCAGAAGACAAAGATGACACGCCCTTCTTGAATCTTCTGGTGATGCTCCGGGTGTCGAAGTCTCCGCCAGGGGGTGCTGAGCCTGAGCCGCCTGAGCCTGTTTTCCAGCATTGTGGGGGACCCGGGAGCGATGCGACCTGTGTTCTCCTGGGCGAGAACATCCCGGGCTACGCGAGCATTTCGATTTCACAACGTGGCATCGGAGTCACCGCCACTCCCAACTTCGAGTGCGATCCGCTTCAGATGAAGCTGCCAGCCAGCGGCAAGTCGCGGTACGAGATCTCGGACTTCACCGATTGCCAGTGTGCCTTGCCAGATGGCACTCCTTTGGTTGGCCAATCCTTTGCGAACTTGGACCCCAAAAACGATTCGCAGGTTGAGGTCCTTTTCGAAGGCATGGCCCTTCGCTCCCGCCGATGTGCGGCAGATAGCCGGTGGATCCTGACCGGACCGAGAGGGAAAAAGTACAACTTCCTCGAGTGGTCGGGAACGCGCATGCTGGCCCATGACATCGACTTCCTCCGAAGCCGCATCTGCGCGCCAAAGCTGAACCTCTATGCTATATCCTACGGAACAGCCGTGGCAGCTGTGTACGCAGACATGTTCCCTGAGCGAGTTGGCAAGATGGTAATCAACGGCAACATGCCACCTGTGCCCTACACCCTGGACTTCGCGAAAGGGCAGGGCATGGCGTTAACGCAGGCTTTCGGGCATTTGGAGCGGCTGTGTGTGAAGTGGACCTCGACCCACCCTTGCGACTATTTCAGCGACGAGACGTCACTCACAAAGTCATGGAATGCTTTGATGGCCGAGATGAGGGCCGAGCGACTCACGGCTCCGACTGACCGTCCAAGTCCGCTTGGTGGCAACGAGAGCTTCCCTTTGACCATCGGCCTGCTCCAGGGTTACCTCCAGGAGCAAATGAACCAGGCAGGTTGGGTGCCTACGGGCTGGGCGGAGCCTGTTCTCACGCTCGCGAACCTTGCGGGCCTGCGTGGAGAAGAAGCTCGGGTGGATCAGGTCAGTAAGATTTTAGACCGGTACTGCAGCCTGCCCGCCGGATACCCCTTCAAGTGGAGTGGCTTAAAGACCTGGAAAGTCTACGGCGCCTGCATCGGCCAACAGTCTGTTGGCCTCTCCAGCTACTCCGCTGAGACGAAGTCGAAGAGTGTGGATGGCTACGTGAACGAGGGGGCAGTCCTCGGTCAAGACCTCTTCGGTCGCTTCACGGTTGCCCAGGCCATGGGTGCGTATCGCGCCTTCCGGGCTGAATGGGAGGAGATGGCCACCAGTTCCTTCGTGGGGATCTTCAGTGCCTTCTTCTCGTGGGAGGCGGAACCGGTGCCCGTGCAGACGGGCTTCCGAGCCGGTGTGCGGGCCCTTGTGGTGGGGAACCTGTACGACCCAGCTTGCAGCTACACCTGGAGCAACCACATGCGCGAATCCCTGCCGAATGCCGTGATGATGACCTGGCAGGGTGTTGGGCATTGCCTCCTGCCTGAGGGCAGCTATCCGAACAGTGGCATGCAACCCTGCTTGAACCGATTGGAGCAGTATTGGATGACCGGGGAGCTCCCCTTCGACGGCTTCACCTGTCGAACGGAGGCTCCTGTCCCTCTCGGCAACTTCCGCACCGAGACCCAGTAAGGGCCGGGAGGTTTGAAGGCATATGCTTCGTCTCCAAACGGCTCTCGGCTTTCTGAGCATTCTTTGCCAATAGGGTTTTCGGCCGGTTGCTGTGTTTGGGCGACTGCTGTGACTGTGAGGAACCGGACCAGTTTTTGCGAGTCGAAACAGAAAGTTGAACACACTGTCGCAGTTACTTGAAAGTTACGCTGTTACATCATCGCCATCTCGAGCTGGAAGTCCAAAGACGCGGGCAGCAGGGCTTTCGAGCATTGTGCGTGTGTTTCGTCAGGGCCCGACGACCCCGAGCTTCTCGGGTGACTGGCGGGGTGGGACGGCGCTGCACCAGGCAGGTTGATGACATCAAAGCGGGCTTAAAGCTTTCTCGAACTCTTAGCATGGCAGCTCAGGTAGACTGTTAGAGTTGCGGAGGGGCATTGCAGGGATCTGCCGCTTCGCTTGGCAAAGCTGGCATGGGCTTGAGAGTGTAATTGTGGACTTTCGCAGGGAGATGTCGAGGGTCAAACGGAGTTGCACTGCACTCTGCATTTGCTTCGAGTTCTGTACGAATCGGGGTGTGCTCCTGACACAGTTTCTGGCACTGTATGCCGGTGGTGAAAGCACATAGTCATAGTCTTTGTGCTTTTGTGTTGGATCTGTCTGCGCCGAAGAGAACGTGCAGGCTCTAAAACGTCCTGCATAACAGGCCAAAGAGCCTTGCAATTCGTAAAGCCTGAGTTTGATGAAACGACTGATACCCTGCATCAGGCACCCCAGCCCACCTCCTCCCGGCGCCGCCCTGCTGCGGCTGCCGTGGAGGAGCGTGACTCGGACGAAGAGGCTCGAGCATCAGGGGTTATAGGACTTAATTTGGTTTGGGTAGGCTACAGCTTAAAGCTTAAATCTGGTGTTGGGTGTCGGGCGCGGGGCTCAGTAACCGGGGGCGTGACTGCAACTGAGTGGGTTTGTGTAATGAAGATGCTGGTGGCGAGCAGCACGACGGAGTCAGCAAGGACAGCAAGGCTGCTGTCGCAGACTGGGGTTTATGATGGTGATGATCACAAGGAGTACGAGGAGGAGGAGGAAAGGTAATAGCACTAGCGATCGGATCAATACCGGCGGTGGGCCGAAGACAGCATATTCAACCTCAATCTTTCTTGTCATAATGGTGACCGGTGTGGTAATGGTGATGATCATCATCATGATCTGGTGCTGCTGTTGGTCGTGCCTGGTCGTGCTGCCGGTGTTGTTGATGTTGATGACGATATTGATGTTGTTGCTCATGGCGTTCGTAACACAGACTATGGTTATGATAATGGTGGTGATGACGACGATGATGATGATGGCGATAGTGACGGTGATGGTGCTGATGGTGACGATGAGCATGCTGATGATAATGATAATGATGATGCACGAGCGGAAACATCTGGGGACGGAAGCTGTGTGTGTTTGTTCCCACAACTGGTGCGGCCATTGCAGACTTTCAATCTCCCGTCACAGTCACGGTCACGCATGGTCGCGAGGCACCCGCCGACGCTGCGGCTCAGGCCGACAAGTCACAGGCCAGACGCTAACACGACGTGGAGAGCCATCTATGCTACACTCTATGCATGTGTGAGGTCAACCTCGTCTGGGACAGTGAGAAAGGCCCCCGAGCTTGCAGTATTTGTGGATAATGTCGCTGGCAGCGACACGGTGACAGAACTATTCCGACGAGCACTCGGCAAAACTGGCCACACCTCTGTGCTTCAGCGGCATGACCACCGTCACACATTCAGAGACCAATGGTCTGAGATCCTGAGATCAACAACTTGCCTTTTGCATGGAAGCTGCATCTTGTTTCCCAGTCCCACTTATTTGAGAACCTGTCGTCGGAGAGTCAAAGCGAGTCCAAGAGCCAGGCCAGCTGGTTCCTACTTCAGCCGCTGGGGCAGGACGACCTGCACAGAACCCCACAGTCTGCATGACTTGCGATGCGAGGCTTGGAACTTAAAGCTTGCAAACTCTCAAGTGCTTTCGGATTGAGTTGAAGCCCTGGGTTACGAGTTCGGTTTGTGGCACTTGGGCGCACTGCGGACACTAGAAAGTCTCCTGGGCTCAAAGTATCACCGGACAGACGCTTGCTAGGAGTGTCGGCAGCGGCCCAGACAGCCAAAGCCTCTGACAACCAAGAGGCATTGGAGCTGAGTTGCGATTTTGGGTTCTATATATGTTTGAAGATAATGCAGCAGTGCTCGGTTCGGACTCGTGCATGGAGGTCGTGAGGTCACAGTTCACTTATTTGCGAGCCTTGCGTTACGCTTTGCTCAAGGGGAGTCCTGTTTGATATGTTTGCTGGCTGCATGCATGAAGGCCAGATGATATGCAAAGAGCACTGATATCCACTCGCACACCAATAAATATGTTGGCTGCCGCTGTACTCCTGAAGCGATTCGTTGCTGTGTGCCCTTCTCATCATAATTCGCAGTGCTGCAATGGCCCTCCATTGTGTGCGCAGTCCGGAGTGCACATACGGTGTCCATAACTAGGGAGGTTCGCAGCTTCCGTTTTTTCAGTTTCGAGCTGTAATTGTAGTGGCGGCTTACAGCATACATATCTGCGAAGTACATGCAGGTGTAATTACCTGCTTGCAGGTTTGTAACCCTTCCGTGAGAAATCAGGGCTCAAATAATTAGTGCAGACACGTCCCATTTAGATCATATGTGTTTACTGTTTTTTGCGCAAAATGGATCTGGATGGGGGTTTACTAAACCATACTAGTAGGGGGCCCCAATACAGCACCCTACATAGTAGGATCCTTGTTATGAGGACCCCCCAAAAAGGTTCCCTAATTTTCCGGAAACTCTAAACCCTTATAGGGCCCTTTAAAGGAACCCTTAAAGTACCCTTATATAGTAACCCCTGAAAGGAACCTCTAGGTACCCCTCATTTTCGGAAACTCCCATATCAGCTTTGTTGTCAAGCCAAGCGCAGGCGGCTCCCGCAAGTGCCGAGTCGGCAGCCGTGGCACATCGGCCTGCAAAGGAACTGCCTGATATGTCTCATACTTGAATTGGGATATCATAGTATACTATGGCATCATGTAATATGGTATATATCGTGTAGTAAGTAGACTGCAGTATTTCGTAGTATGCAATCATACACCATTGTAGATTTACCGGGCTTCTGGGGGCCGGGCCGTTGCTTTCTTTTCGTCTTTGCGTATGTGCCAGGCATGTACCAGAACTGTGGAAGTCTATATGGGGGTTTCCGAAAATTAGGGGTACCCTATTTTTGGGGGTCCTTATAATAGGGATCCTATTTAATACTGTATTAGGGTCCCCTATTTTCGGAAACTCCCATATCTATATGCTAATACACGCGCAGCGGCGTTGCGCTTGTAGCGCTGGGTTTTGTGGCCCTCCAGAGAACTTGACGTCTTTGAACAAACAGCAAATCCTGAGTCCTGACAAAGCCTGCAGGCAACCGAAAACAGCCACCAAGAAAGCTGCAAATGATGCCTGCCGAATAGAATCCCTAGGCAAGGCACGAAATCGTTAGCAAAACCAAGCCTGAGCCGCCTGAGCCTTCATAAGAGGAGTCCTTAAACTGAGACTTCTGAGGTCTGAGCTCAACTTCTCCTAAAGTACCGCTAACCATCAGCAGCAACAATAAAGGGGAATCAAACAAAATTATCCGGCCGAAACCAAAGCACATTCAAAATCAAAAGGACCCTTCAAAACGGCTTTTGTCTTGAATGGCCGGCCAGAACACATTAAATGAAGCACCAGTGCCACATGAAAAGGTACGTGCACTGAGTACTTCAATCTGTCAGAAGGCTAGTCGAATCTCAGCTAACGCGGCAGCTCAAGCGGCAACCGATAAGCTGACCTTGCACATTAGATGTTTTACGGACCCGGTGAAGACATTGACCTTCCAGCGTCCCGTCTGCTCAGGGCGATCAAGTCCAGCCGGCACCGGCGGAGGACGATGATGGTGAGGGTCGCCCGGCTCAACCTCAACAATAACGACAGACACTGACACCGCCGCCACCACCGTCGCCACCACCACCACCACCACAACCACCACCGCAACAACAAAAACCAGAATAGCAACAACAGCAACCAAAGCAAACAGACATCTGGGCACTACCATGACCCCCTGCCTGGAACCTAACTTAGCACCAAGGAGAGGAGGAAGAAGAAGCTGCTGGTGACCAGGAGGTGGATGTGGAGGCGGGTGGTTTTGTCATAAGATCGCGAGCGACAATATGAATTCGCACAGAACTCTTCCCCGGGGCTGGGCCATAACATCCTGGATCCCTATGGACCTTGAATCCCCAAACCTTGGTCTTTGAACGCATCGCAAATTTTTGCGCTCGCTTGGTTGTTCAGGCGGCTAGACCTAATTGTCCATGTTGGTGAGAAGCTTCGTCGGCTGTGAACCTCCAGGGAGGCATGGTCTGTGCTCTCGGAAGCGATTGCGCGCATACCGTATCGCCAAGCCTATGTACTGGCACGTAGGGCTCAACTTGGTCATGCAAAGGAGGACTCGGGACGTGAGCTGGCTGAACGAGCTCGATTCACAACATAGGCCAACTTGACAACTACCGATTTGCAGTGGATAGGCTTCGTAGGTCGTGTCTCTCAACCGGCATCCAAAGTCGAGGTGGCACCTGCAAAGGAGATTGTCCAGTAAGGACCTCTAGTTCCCTAGTAAATGTAAGCTGCAGTGGGCCTACCGAAGCCTCGCGAGGGCCCCCCACATCCCAAGCAGGCAGAGAGCCGTGCCGCTTTCCTCTCAGAGGCGGGTTTGGGCACTTTGCTCCGGGTGCGAAAGGTCCGTCGAAAGCTGGTTGCAGTATGGCTGCACAGTTTTATTGAGGAGTTCAGAAAGACTACTCGATTAATCCTGGTGGGTCCGGGGTTGCTTAAGGCCATGCCCCGTTCCGGTTTGCTTCTGACGCTGGCTGAGGGCCTAAAGAGGCATGCTGATGAAGATGCCGCTGACTTGAGAGAAGCCTGGTTGATCCTGGTTGTGCGAAGTTTGGCAGATGCGTTGGTGACGGATGGTTTGGGGCAAAGCCGTAAGTGGCGCTAAACCATAATCCGGCAAAAGAACGGTGTCTTCAATGCGTGCTCTTGTGTAAACAGTTTAAGCTCAGCTCAGAGACTGATGCTGGTGCGGACACAGGCCTCCACCCCGGAGCTGATCAAGCAGGCAGTAGCTGCCCGGAGCTCAGGGGCACTCAGGGGCCAGGGGCCAAATCAGAGCCATGGTGGAGGCCCCGGACTTTGGAGAACTCTCGTTTTGATTCTTTGAGCTGGGAGTTCTGCATATTAGTCGCCTGCCGCAAAAAGGCGACGGAAGCTTGTCGCTGTGGTGCAGAATGTCCAAAGACCCCGAAACATCAAGTTGATAGGCAAGCCATTGCTGCAAACTCTGACTATATAGCGAATGTGAGAGGTGTCAGAATGCTGCTAGAACAACACAAGACACGGAGTAATAAGATGCTCTTCGGGACGCCCACCACCGAGCGCGACTTAGCAAGATCATTAATCATCTTCGTGTAGGTGCAACCCGTCTGTGCTGAAATTCTCAGACGCTGCAGCCTGCATGCTGGAGCCCACGAAGGACCTGACACCTGAAGCCCCGAGTGCTGTTCTCAGGTCGGGGGGCCCTTGGCCGACGCCACCAAGGACAAATGGGACCCTCGGCTCTCGGTTTAGTTTTGTGCGCTAAACTCGTGAAGAGCCAGAAGAAAGGATGCCGATGATGATGGCAGTCGTTTCTGCGGCCGACGACGTCGTCATAGTATGGCAGTGGCCATGGGACTGGTAGAACTTAGAACAACTCCTCTCTGAGCATCACAACCCTGCGCAACTTGCAGCAACGAGCCGCTGGTGTCCTGCATTTGCCCTGGTCTGATCATTGCCCCGTATAGATGGCTTTCAGACTATATATATATATATATATATATATATATATGAATATGAAGCCTCAGGGGCAAGGTTTTGCGACTCGGGATTTAGTCTGGAACGTCAGCGCGGGTGCAAAAGCCAGAGGTCTGAAAGTTCACAGGTGACTTAACTGAGACTGTTTCGAGCGACGTCCTGACCCCATGACAGTGGTTTGTCGGTCTAGAGAGCCACCTGCTCGTCCCAGCGCGGTGTTTGGGTGTCGGATCTCAGAACTCATCGTTTCGCTTCTGGTTTTCTTTACGGGGTTCAGTCCGCGCAGTTTCATGAAGTGTTTTGTCACGTTTTGTTTGAGCTTTGGCTCTAAAGCATGACAGCCGGACACCTTCCTCCCTTCCTCCCGTGCCGCAAGCTTCGCACTGGCAGTGTGTGCCGAAGGTTCTGGACCAGGCAACCAAGTTGTACTTCAAGTACGACACGCCAACCCAGAAGACCCTCGGCCGCCTGACGCTGCTCGTTGTTCGTTTGTGGCCACTCTCTGGCCCTGCAGGCTCAACAGTAGCAATGGAGAGCGCTAATTAATTCGTCGACATGTCTGACTTACTGGTAATCTCGTCGCGCGTGTTTGGAGTTCATGCCTTGTTAAGCCAAATACCTTAAGCGTACCTACATCCAGTACGTCGCCCTGGTCGGAAGCAGAGAGGCTTTTGGGAGTAGTTCTGAGATATGCGTGCCGATGGGAGCTCTGACGTGGCACCCGCTGCGGCACGGCTAGCCTATCCCACCCTTGCGTGCTCTCAGGTGCCTTAGCCCCGAATGTTCGCACAGCCGAGGATGTACTGCTGGCAGTCCTCTCAAGGCACAGACAGGGAGGTGGTTGCCGCGGCAGGAAGACTCCTTTCGAGAGGTTATCGGCCTTGTGTCAGATTCAGAGAGCAGCCTTTGTCTTCTTCTTGCGGTTTGCTTCCCCGGGCAGGCTGCATGTACCACTGGAAGGACGGCCTTCCGTGGAGATTGGAGCATTTGGAGCCTTCAGCAATACACCAAGCAAGCCCTAGACCGTGTCACCTGCGAAGAAGCACACTTCCGGTACTTCTGGAATGGCTACAACCGGAGCTGGAGGTGTCCGACTTTACAGGCCCGAGCCCACGAACCTATCAAAGATTCCATGGAGCCGCCAGAGATGCTCCACAGAACACTTCATGTTCGAAATATCTGATGGGCGAATGATATCATCTATATGTCTATCCATGCATCCATCCATCTATCTATGTGTAGTCTGTACATGATATCATCCAGCCATACCCGGAGAGCTGCTGGTATATATCGTTTTGGGGTGTTTTGGGGACCATGACAGTTGACTATAAACAGGACCCCCTCAAGTGGGGCCAAGCCGTGCCAGGACAAGCCCGAAAATTCTGTCCTGCAGCTGCATGCACTTACCTTCGGTTAGTACTAGTAGGGGATGGAGGAATGGGGTACAGTTATAACTACTATTATTACCATTCCTCCTTTCCCTACGAACCAAAGGTAAGTACACGGCCTGAGGTCGCCCAAACCCTCGCAAACCTCACAGTTGAGCGGACCTCCGGCTTCCGACTGGCCTTTTCTAAGCCGCGAGTGCTGAGATTTATGTTTACCTTTATGTATACCAGCTGCAATCCTTACCTTTGGTTAGTAGGGAATGGAGGAATGGGGTACAATTATAACTCCTACTACTGCAACTACTACTACTACTACTACTACTACTACTACTACTACTACTACTACCACTACTACTACTACTACTACTACTACTACTACTACTACTACTACCATTCTTCCATTCCCTACTAACCAAAGGTAAGCATCCCCGGAGGAGCGTGGGAAGATGACCTTCCTCTGGGCCTCGCCGGGCTCCGTTGGCGCTCCACCACCAGCCAAGGTCGAGGCCCGACAGCAGCTGCTTTTTCATGATTTTAATGCATAATACTCGTCTAGGGTTTAGGCATTTTCATGATTTTAATGCATATAATACTCGTCTAGGGTTTAGGCATTTTCATGATTTTAATGCATATAATACTCGTCTAGGGTTTAGGCATTTTCATGATTTTAATGCATAATACTCGTCTAGGGTTTAGGCTTTTTCATGTTTTTTTAATGCATAATACTAGTCTAGGGTTTAGGGTTTAGAATGATACCTTATCTTACGGTATGTTGTTGTACAGTAGAAGTGTTATTGGCTTTTGTTTGCTTTCGCGCTATTGTAGAAGTATTTAAACTGTTCCGTATCATGATTATGTTGCTATATTGGTGTAAACTATCTGTGTATTGCATTAGTACCTGACACCAGATTTTGCTGTGTTATACTACATATGCTAGATTGGATTATTTTGTGGTATATGCTACACTATCTGATATTTGTAGACCATATACAAATACATACATGTATGCGCTCGGGTACCGGGCCGCCACCCCCCCCCATATGGTATCCCCCCTGCTGCTGCACGCCCACCCGCCCTGCCCGCCCCCGGCCCGCACCTTGCCCGCCCCCTTCGGGAGTGTCGCACTATGCCCTGCCGTGTGCGGAAAGCGGCAATCGGCGCAGTAGTTTCCAGCATCTGACACGAACTGCAATGCTGAATTATGAGGGTTGTATGGCGATGGTGATGGTGGCAGATCTTCTTTTGAAGGAGTAATGATGAAGATGACGACGACAAGGATGATGTTGAGCATGGTCTGATTGTCGACTCATGTCCCGGTCTAGAGCAGCACAACATCATGAGCAGTATCACCGGGACCACAGCAAGAGGGAAGACAAGGAGTAACACATAAGAACGTCGCTGCAAAAGCAGTACCACCACAGGCCCCACACCACAGGGGGGGGGGGCGGCGGGGAAACGGGGAGGATACCATGGGGTGGGGGGGGAGGGGGGGTGTGGCAGCCCTGCATCATATATATATATATATATATATATATACGCACACACACACACACATTTATATGTTACATGTATACATACAGTTGCAGTGCTCTTTCATACCCTGTTATGTTGATTATTATATATGACATATTTGATGTTCTGTATTAAGCCCTTTAACACAGCTCTGAACCGTATACCGTAAACTGCCATAAACTTCTTTGAGGGAGGGTTTAGGGTCACCCTCCAGGCAGCTCCCACTGTGGACCCCGGCGCAAAGACCACCGAAGCCGTGGAAGCTGCAAAAACTCCAGCGCCGGAGATCAGCGGCTTGGTGGAAGGGAATGAAGGGACGCGTTCTGTAGCATGTCCAATACCTATGCAGGTGTACAGGTACATATCATGTACGTGCCCGAACTACTACTGCTACTCCTCCCGCTGCTCCTCCTCCCACTGCTACTCCCCTGCTGCTGCTACTGCTGCTGTTGCTAGTGCTACTGCTGCCACAAGTGCTGCAACTGCAACTGCTACTACTGCTGCCAATGCGACTCCTATTGCCCACTGCAAGCTGCTACCGACTGCTACTGCTGCTTCTACGACCAGAGGCCGACCAGCATATACTAGCGCTTCTGCTTCTGCATCTTGTGCTGCTGTTTCGTTCCCAAACTGATGAGGGTTGGGTTTGCTCTGGAGGGGATGAACTTCTAGGTAAGTATCTTGCCGGATGGCTCAGATGCCAAATCATATCTCCGCTCAGACCGTGCGATTTTTCGTGTCTTCCTGACCAGTGGAAGCGAGGAGTTTCTGTTGCATCCATCCTGTAAAGCCGCCGCGCAGCGGCATGCGCACCAGTGAACGTCTGCATCCATACGTGCCTATCCTTCCACAGGTAGGCACACGACGCATACATGCTCCCATGCCTTTGTCCTTCTCTTTGCCGGTCTCTCTTTCTCACTAAATGTCGCATTGGTTTGGCATATGTGCTATTCTTACTCTTTGTCGGTGGGTGGTGTCTGCTTTCTGCTGTCCCGTGGACTCCCAAACTCACTTCACGCAATGTAGCTCTGTCCTTTCGGCTGTGGTCGTCCAAGTGCTGGTTTGCCGTAGTAAAAGAACTTGCACGTCGCACCCTCATTAGTCGCAGATCCCGAGTCCGGAAATGACATTGGTCTCAATGTTGTCGCTGGCAAGGAGACTTGGTGTTGCAACCATCACCCCTCAAGCGGGTGGTACCTGGTCCGAACAAGGAAACGAATATTGTTTGGGGGTGGTGCTTCTGACCTGTCCGGGTGAACACTTGTGTCGCTTTATGTGTCAGCGTATGTATTTTGCCATGTTGTGTATGAGTCGATGGATATACCACCCGTATATGTGCACGCATGCAGCATCAATGGGTGGATGGGTGGCTGGTCAGATGCACGCGTGAGACGGATGGATCATTGTCCTACAATGGGTACGGACAGACATCGGAATTAGGCAGCAGCGGCAACAACATGCAGTTGCATGTGCAAGTTGACTGCCGCGGCCACTGATTGGTTCCCAAGCTGCCATGGCTTTCGGCAGCTGTTTTCGATTTTCGTCAATGTGTTTCAATCGTGCGTGCTAGGCCACTAGGCATTGACCAGGCACTAGAACTTAACGCCCTGAATACCGCAGTTTGCAGCAAAGGTGACAGTGCCTCCCTTTGGGTGACAGTCATTCCACCCTCGGTTCTAACATCTGCGACCTGGCTGGCAATAGCACCAGAACCATGCAGGTGAAATCATGTTCTTTTCATGGAGTCCAGTCCATTGACGTGGCTTGTGATAGGAGACGCGAAGCTGTTGATCAGGGGTTGAGCTGTACGACTTTAGCCGCTTTTCTCGTCAATTTCGACCTTGTGGCTGCGAAGCACCCAGGATTTCGAAGATGCAGATGCCGAGGCGAGGTGACTGGCTGAAGATGTGAATGATCGATCCGTCCAACCTCGGTGTGTATGAACATCTCAGGACCCCGTCACAGAGCCATGGTTCCTCAAGAGGGTTGAAGAGAGTTTGGGACAAGCCTAGAGTACTAAGCCACGCGTCGTGGAAGAGAGATCCTGGAATTGTGGAACAAGCTCAGTAGCCCTCTCACTAACGAAGTCGGCAAGACTGAAAGCACCAAACATCGAGGTCCTTGGCATGTTGTTAACAAATCGAAAGTGTCAGCCTGCAGTTGATTTCCAGCGCTAGTATGCGTCACTGCGAGTTTGATCTGATCCCTACTCCTTGCCTCGAAGAGAAACAGCACGTGGCAAGGCAGATTCACGCGAGAGGCGCTACTTGTAGGAGGATTTGTCGAACCCAGAACCAGCCAGAAGCTATGTTGCACGTCATGCAGCATATATAAAACCTTCATGTGGATGTACGCTGCGAAGTTACAGAGTGCAGCCCACTTGCGTTCTCAACTGGTGCCCTTCGAGTGTTTTTAAGCTGGAGAGCGCCACGTGGAAACCCTACAGTAGGAGCCCATGTAGAAGCCATATGGAACCCTGTACAAACCCAGCAGAAACCGCAGGCCGAAGAAGAGCTGGAGCTGAATGCCAAGGCCATGGGCGCCGTCATCGGCAAGGGTGGCAAGGGCATTAAGGAGATCGAGCAAGCGACAGGTGGGCCCGGTGTAGGCTTTCGTACTGTACCGTGCTGCGTTTCGGGCTTTCAGGGCTTCGGCGTTTAGGGTTTGGGAATGTTTACAGGTTTGAGTGTGTTAAACAAAAAAGGCTTTGGCGTGTTGCGACGACGTAGGCTTGGTACGCGTTGGCCGAGGTTGAGGGTTGGCAGATTCAGGACAGCTTCCGAAGTTCGACTCCAAGCTCCGGGTTCAGCCTAGCAACTGCCAGAAGTGGTGGCAGATTTGTTTCGCGCTTCGTCGAGTCTCTGACTGCTTGTGCAGCGAAGTTTCTGGAAAGCACCGAACCTTGGTCAGGCGTCAAGTCAACATCCCTGGATGCCAAGTGCGACCCTCAGTGGAGAATGACTGCGTGAAACCTTCGTGATCCTTCTTGAAGACGTTATGTTCACTCTGTCCTGCCTGCACAAGCTATGGCCGATCAGTCAAGGTCATCTGAGGGTGCGCAGCTGCGCCGGCTGGTGCTTCGGGGCACCCGTGCGCAAATCGCGCAGGCGCATGATTTGTTTGCTGAAGTCCCAACATTCAGGAAGACATGTATTGATGTCATATACCATAAGACTTGCATACAACAGACTTTAATCACTATACTGTACTAGGAGGACCGATGCTTCCCTGGCCAACCCGATACGAGCCTTTTGTGTAGCTCTCAGCCATACTCTTTGGGCAGGCGAAGTCAGCGGTGGAGCAACGAATCGTCATGGTGTGGCTTTGCAAGAAAACGAAGCCGGGGTCGGTACGGCAAAGAGCTATTTCTACATATACATGTGTATATATATATATATATACACACCTATACACACACATCGAAAAACACACATGGATATGCATACGTATATATATATATATATATATATATATATATATATATATATATATATATATATATATATATATATATAGATGTATGTGTATATGCATAAACATACATATGTATGTGCACATGAATGTATGTATATACATATATTTATTTATGCTTGTACATGTATTATATGTACATACCTCGCTTGAGTTGCTCCAGTGCGAGTGCTAAAAGTATGTACATACACGCACATATACATGCAAATATACATACGTATGTAGATAGATAGATCCATGAATAAAGTGTGCATCGTGAGGTTCGGAACAGGCACCCTTGGAAAGTGGGGAGTTCCCCCGTAAGGAATACTTACCGCAATTGCCCGTTGGCATTCGTTTATCCAGGGGCTTCAGAGGCGGCAGCTGGCTTCTCCGATTTTCGGATGTCATTTACTTTCCTTGTCCTCAGACAGCGGTGTGAGATGTCTTCGGCTGTGAAATTTGCATTGCTCGGACAGTTCTCTGGAAGCATTGCTTTCGCCCATTAAAGCGACACCCTGCAGCCAAGGCTGGGAGCCAAAGCGGCCGAAAAGGCAGAGAGCCTGGAGAAAGCTCGGTTCTTCAGCCTGTAGTGGTTGAGTGTTTCGATGTTGAGCAGCTCGTGAGCAGCGAGGGCTTGGACCATGCGACCATGTGTTAGACTCTTATAGACGAGGCACAGTTGCCCCATGTCTTATTCCACTGTTTAGCCGTTCGCTGCTTGCCTTGGATTCCTTGGATCCTCCTCTTGATAGCTGTTGAGGTTTAGGGCTCGGCAGGGTTGAGAGCCCTTAATGTGTCACTGGCGGCAGGTGCAAAAACACTGGAGCTCGCAGCTTCTCGAAAAGAAGCGCACAGAAACTGGATCGGAGCCTTGGTGCCGCTGAGAGCCTTCTGGGGAGATGTTCGAAGACCCGAGCTTCCATTGAACGCGAACTTTGCCGCATATCGCCACATCAAGCACCATGAAAACGCTAAGGAAGCTGCAAAAAGCGGAGTCCGCGGTCTCAGCGAGTTCGTGCTGCCTGGCTCGAAAGTCAGATGGTCCGAAGCTTGTGACGGCTCGCGACGTCAGGCTTTCAGGATCACATTTTAGGTGCCCAGCAAACCATACGAATCGATCCAAACAAACAGAATAGCTTGTTGACGTCCGATGGGGACAGTGTTGGTCCTGGAGCCATCCCTGACTGCGCGGGAGGCTGCATCATGGTCTCAAGGCCGTGATGGCGAGGCTTGTGCGATTGAGCCATCTCTTGGGTTGCAAGACTTTTGGAGTGGTCTGTTGATGGATGACAGGTGCTGCAGATGCCCCCGGGACATCCCGGAGCCTCGTGATGCATGTAGCGCTGATAGAGAGTTCATGGGAGGCGACTGGCGAAGTTGGACGCAATGCTGCAGCGTGCCATGGCAGCAGCGAAAGTGACAAAGGATGCAACAACATCACGTGGACTCCGGACAGCCTTTGTAAACATGGTTACGGCCCGAATCCCCATGTTGACTGAGTTCATGACCCACCCACCCGCCTACCTACGCAGGTAACCTGCTTCCAACAAACCTGCCTCCCACCTGCCTCCCTACCGTACACATACATGCGTACATAGTTACATGCATATACACACAGACACGCCGGTCGCAGCAGCAAGCGTGAAAGTAGCAGTGCCATCAGCAGCAGGAGATTGGAGTAGTCCTTGTCGTCATCGCAGTACTAGTACTAGTACTCGTACTAGTCAGTACTAGTACTAGTACTAGTACTAGTACTAGTACTAGTACTAGTAGTAGTAGTAGTAGTAGTAGTAGTAGTAGTAGTAGTAGTAGTAGTAGTAGTAGTAGTAGTAGTAGTAGTAGTAGTCGTGGTAGTCGTAGTCGTAGTAGTAGTAGTAGTAGTAGCAGTAGTAGTAGTAGTAGTAGTAGTAGTCGTAGTAGTAGTAGTAGTAGTAGTAGTAGTAGTAGTAGTAGTAGTAGTAGTAGTAGTAGTAGTAGTGGTGTCATGTTTGCTCACAGAGTTTGCTTTACGAGTGCATGGTGCCTGGGCTCGACACCAGCTGCGATCGAAGGTTACACCATCCGGCACTTCAAGCCCATGCCCCTCGACTCAGCGACTGCTGCCTCTTTGGGGGTTTGGGGGCTGGCTGTATACGTGACATGTATTGCCCTGCGGCTTCTCTGGAAAGTAAAGCCGAAAGCTGTGTGGGAAGCAGTTCCCGTTCTTGCGTGGTCGAGAGCAGATCCATCCTGATCAAAGACTCATGACAGTCAGTTTTTGCAGATGAACCCTGGCAACGAGGAAAGCCAAGCCGGCTAATGCGCTTAGAGGAGCCATGCTTCTTCAGTGTGTGTGTGTGTGTTTGTGTGTCATAGAGTTGCAGGGTCTCGCGGCATAGGTTTGCTCGGCTCTTGGCTCATGCGAGGCAAAAAGGGGGAATCAGGGGGAGTCGGGCTTCGGCAGATATGTCGAGAGTTAGATCAAGTCTGGAGGCTGGAACTGCATGAGTTGGACCTATCCGTGGATGTTGACCGGCAAAACACATGTGGCATTAAAAGCTGTTTTGAAGACATACAGTTTAAGGTTCAGAACACTCGGCTTTTGCCGTGGCTTTTGGTGGATTTTGGCACTGAGTCACATGCCAAGCTTGTCAGGAGCACTTGCACGCATCCATGACGGCCCAACAACGACAATGTTTCTTCGAGAAGCTAGCCACTAGATGCCGCGAGAATCTGTCTGCAGCCGACAGGCTAAACCGACCGAAGCTTCGCAACCAAGGCCGTGTCCCTGGAAAGGCAGACTCCCCTTGCGCGCCCTCTCGACCCAAAAGTCCACAACGTTTAGCTGCAGCTACTGCTATCCGTTGTTTTCGCCATCGTTGTGTTTGCATAGCTACTGTTCTTCATGCTGGCCTCCTCTTGAACAGGAGCGCTCAGCTGGTTACTGTAGCCCTTGGTTCTTGTAGCTATTGCAGTCGCCGCTGTGATCCAGGATACCTGGCCTCTATGTTCAAGTTCCCACAGCGCTGGCGCCTCGAGGCGCTGTACGAGGATGGTGACTAGCCGGGCACCAGAGGGTTTTTCATTCGCATTTTCAAGCTAGAGTATAGCACATCGCATGTGGCGCTGAATCGAGGTGAGCTCGACGGCGAGATCTGCGAGACGGTTCCACTCCGTGCTTTGTCAGAGTCGCTTCTGGTGAAGTGCACTTTGAATTTCTTGTCTTTCAATGAAGACTGACTAAGCAGAGCCGAATGGGGCTGGTAACCGATTGATGGCTGAAGTTTCCTCGCTCTGCTACACAAAGACAAGCCACAACCACGCCTAGCCCTTACAAACGAGGACCTCTGAAAGCTGCAAGGAGCAGGCTTTCTGCTGTGCTTGCCAGCGGCTTTCTGGCCACATCTCGGCTGAGGTTCTGTGCACAATCTGTTAAGTACATCACCCCGAGTCCACAATCCTAAACTTGACGTCCCCAATCCGAAGCTCCAGACTAAAAGCTCATCTACTGAAACAGCGAGGCACTAGTGCCGTGGTTGGCCGACAGCGCCTGGCTGCGCAAGACGATGCCGAGGCGCGGCTTTGTCTAGTCATGATATGACAAGCCGAAGAAATGTCCAAATGCAGCACGGAAGCACTGAGAGCCGTCGCAGAAACAAAGCGAACACCGCGAAGATGCTGACCATGGCTGGGCTTTCAGGCTTTGAACTCGAACTTAATGCTCTTACCCGGGAAACAACGCTGTGTTACATTGGGGAGCATGCTTAGCTCTGGCGCCTGGAAAGGGCTTCAGGTGTCAGACCTCCTTGCCTTAGACTTGCAAGGAGGCGAAGGTGTTTTTTTTGTCGGGGGCAGAAATCATCTTTCACGGCTAGTGCAAAAAGCAGGAGTTACAGACTGTCGTCGACTTCAGAGGCTAATCGACCAATGTTCCACAACAGGCAGGGAACTCCTTTTGGAAGCCATATCGCCCTGTTGGATCAATGCATCTGCCCTCGTTGACTATGCGCGCTTTGCGATGGCTTTCTCCGACGGCTTGACGCACATTCCCTGCGCATGGGTGCATGAAACCGGCATCTAAGCGGATACCTTGATGCTTCTCGAGCCCTGGCCCAACCCTGCATCCTAGTTCAGTTTTCACTCACCCCGTAGGAAACCTGGCCCTGAACTCCCGAACCCTGGACCCAGCACCGATGAGACAGTCACATGCCTGTCATGGCCTCTACCCATGCCAAGCTTCTGCAATAAGTTCTTGCTTGCTTCCAGGACGAGCAGTTGATCGAGCTGGAGGTGAACCCATCCTTAGGCATCGACTTGGGGTCAGAGACGTGCAGATGAGGTCAAGCAAATTTGGGTTAAGGTAAGGCAGAACTCATGTTATGAAACCAGCAACATAGGGCGAGCAATGACTTGATTGAAAGGTTTGGGAGATTTTGCTAAGAGTTTCTGCTGCCTGAAACTGTGTGGACCTGCTTGCTGCGAGGTCCGAAGGAAGCCTCCAAGCTCTACGGAGACGTTCAGGCGAGCAAAGCACACAAGACTCCCTCTCCCTCTCCCTCTCCCTCTCCCTCTCGCGCTCGCTCGCTCGCTCGCTCGCTCGCTCGCTCGCTCTCTCTCTCTCTCTCTCTCGCTCGCTCGCTCGCTCGCTCGCTCTCTCTCTCTCTCTCTCTCTCTCTATCTCTCTCTCTCTCTCTCTCTCTCTCTCTCTCTCTCTGTCTCTCCATCCCAGCTTTGCATTGAGCCCAGCCCCGACTCATGTCGGCAGTCTCTGCCCAGCACTCATCCGCAAGAACCACACACCACGAGAATCCAAGACCCTGCAGGATCAGCACTGCCGCTTGCATCGGATGGGTACCTCCGCCGAATTCTGACATCGTCACAGGTTTCGTACTGAGGGTGCTTTTTAGTCTCGTAAGTTTGTGATTTGAAGCCCTGTCTCGTCTGATAAGACCTTAGGCCTACCGATATCTTTTCAGTGTAGAGCGGAACAGCCCTAAACCCTAAACCGTAAGACTCCGCACCTAAGAACCTCGCCTGGCTGTGCCCGAGTTGTTACAGCGTAAACCGTAAGGCAACGACTTTTATGTCATGGCCCTGGAGTCTCAGATCGGCACGTTGGTGGACGGACAGCCCCTCGGCAAGATGCAGGCCGACGGCCCGAGCCGCAGATAGAGGTCAAACCGGTGGCCTTCAAGCTCGAACTAAACTTATAATATATACATATATATATATATATAATTATATTTATTTATTTATTTATATTTATATTTATATATTTTATATATATATATATATATATATATATTCATTTATTTATTTATATACACACATCTAGTATAATAGAATAGAATATAATATTATATTATATAAAGTTCTTGAAAATGGGCTTAAGCTCTGCTTCGACCGTGGACCTTTTCTGGCAGAGCCAAGGAAGATCCGACACCAAGATGGGCCGGTGCCGATCAGAGATGGGACCACCCTGGGCATCGGGCGGCTTGGCGGCAAGATCTTCCGGCTGGCCTGTATGCTGACAAGCTCTATACTAGGAGCTAGGATAAAGTGGATCCCCGAAAGACTCAGCCTTCAATTCTTCTGCTGCAACCGAGGCTCCCCAGATCGGCTGTAAGCTGTCAGGGCTAGAGAGAAGTTGGTTCCTGTTGAGGTGCTGATTGCATTGCTTTGAGAATGCGATGCTTAGCCAGCGCAAGATTTGTACAGGCAAAGGGTTTCGAACTCAGTAACTCAGAGTACGAGGGCGGTAGAGTCTCATCTGGGACTGAAGGAAATACCTCGTCTACTGTGAAGTCGGCAACGAAGCCTTCTTGCAGGACCTTTGCGTTCACTGCATGGTTTAGACCCAACCTGCCGATAGCAATCCACCGTGCAGTCAGTCAGGAGTCAAAAACGAATCAGGAAATTGAAATCCTGCAGTCTGGCGGCCCAAGCAAGAGCCTTCTTCTTGCCACTGTTGACTGGCGCCGGTTGAGATGATTGTGAACCTTGGAGACCGCACAGAGGGAAGCTGGGACTTCGAAACGTTAACACACTGAATAGATTGAGTAGATCATGGAACTTATAACACAGAAGATACAGCAAACTACAACACCCATGATATTGAACCTGCCCGACAACCGGCAACAAGCATCTGAATCTTCAGACCCAGCTTCCCCTTGTTCTCTGTCGCGAGGACAGGCGAAAAAAGCTCCTGGCCGGGGAGAGGCCGGTTTTGAGTCGATGGCATCTACCGCTCATGACGAGTGATTGCAATTATCGCCTGTCGTGGATGTTTTGCTAGTTGGCTCAGTGTTTTGGGGTCTCGGAGCATCGGTTCGACACGACAACGAATTTGTATAGCAAAGTCTGAAGTTTCCAAGCCAGGAACTCTGAAGCCTTTCGCCCCAAACTTAGACAGCTACGATTTCAAGCGCACGCCTGATGCAGAAGTCGCGGTCATTTTCAAGCAGCCCCGGCACACAAACCTGAAGGAATATGTCAATCATTCGGAGGCATGGGTAAAATTGTGTCTGAATCCTTGCAGCGGACCCAAAGACACCAAGACAGACTCTACCTCGACATCGAAGTTATCCAAACTAGGACTAAGATACTCTCCGGCCTGAGTTCCGGGCTCGAGGTCAGGGTAGCAGCCGTGCAGCGTCTTAGGGGTTCCAGACAAGGGGCAGGCGCCGGGCCACCCGCATCTGAACCTCTTCGAAGTTCTTTTGCACAGGTTCTGGAAGGAAGGCAAAGCCAGTCTACAGAAGTCCGAGGAAGCTGCTGAGGCAAGTTTGACTCACTGCGGGGTGGTTTCGGGAGCTGGGAGTTGAAGTCACACTCTCCCAAAAACAGCGGTCGGAATCTTGCTGACTTGAGGCTTTTGGAGATTTTTGGAGGTTGGGGGCCTGAAGCTCGTGCTGAAGAGAGAGACTGTTGGGGTTTCGGCGACCATGTAAGCCGCAAAAAGAATGAAGCTTTGATTTCTAAAGAAGAGAAAACCAAAACAGAGCTTTTGACAGTTTGGGTCTAAGTGCGAGCGATGCCGGTAGCAGCCTCGCAGGCCAAGCCGGCAGCTGAGGACGGAGATGGGATAGAAGGGATCCTCGGGAGAACCCTATTGAACGGAGCCAGGACCTTGAGGATGGGGGTAGGATGGAGTCGAGCTCATTCGCCTTTTTCGTTTTGAGCTTTGTGTGCAAGTTGGTGAAACCTCCGCAGGAAGGTGAGGCTGCACAAGCTGGAGAGGGTGCCGGCCTGAGTCCGCAGAGGTTATCGTACAAACTCGTTGCATCTTGTGAAGCTGTTGCTTCAGGTGCGTGCTCATGTTTTCTCAAGCTACAGTATGACAATCATGTCGGCAGATTTCGGCCATGATCATCACGAGAAAGTGGCTTCAACGCTTCAACCCTAGAAAACAAAAAAGCAACGGCCGCCAACAACCCCCAAGTGTTCTTCGGATCTGGGCCCCTGCCCTGAACGTGGCACAGGTGCGGACGATGATGAGGAAGACGAAGAGGCTAGCTGAGCTCACATTGGAACTTTTATTAGAATTCTCGGTGCACTTGCACACTGGGACCCCCAACGTCCGGCCTGTGGAGTTCTCGCAATGCAGACGTTGCAGGCTATAGTCAAGTGAATTAACTGTCTACAACAAACCTGCGCATTCTGAGTTATTGGGTGACTGCTTATGTTTGACAGCTTGCGCAGCTTGCGTCTGGCGATTTGCGAGCGCCCACCCGTCCCTCTTTGTCCCACCAAGGCACTCGATGTCCTCTTTACGGCACCACCAGATGAGGCAGCCCTTGGAATTCAAGCTTTGCCGCCGCATTCCTTGGGACAGCCTCGTGTCTTCCAGAACTCGTACTCATATGTATATTACATATACATATGCGCAATATAATATAACAAAACATTATATAAGGTAAGATAATATGTGTTATATATATACATATATGTATATGAGTATATATGTATTGTATGAACTATTGATAGTTCCTATAGTCTTTTTGCAAGGAGCTCCGGAATCGGAAGCCTTGGACCCCTTCCTTAGAATGTGCCATGTCAGCTGCTGAAAGTTCTTCCACCGCGAAGCAGATAAAAATCCCATTGCGGGTTTAGGGCTTTAGGGTTTAGGGTTTAGCATCTGAAATCACTCTGTGCCGAAGCTGCCGAAGGCGGAAACCGATGGTGATGGAGCAACGATGGCAGAGACGGCGGCAACAGAGGACAACCCACTACTAGCAGATGCAAGCGACTGCATGAGATGAGCATGCACTGCTGGCCGTCAGAGTCAGTGGGGTACGGGGACACAGATCAGTCGCATCATCTCACATGGCTGCCACGCCACACGGGGTGAAGCATTCGAGGGGGGGGGGGTCATCATCGAGAGTCCACTCAGGATTCGTGTTCGAGATTGTTGTTGAGGCTTGTTTGCACAAGCTGCTCTTTCTGTTGTTGTGGGCTACATTGTTCACGAGGCGGTTACATTGCTGTTTGTCCTTGCCGTGCTGCTGCTAGCGCTGTGCTCGAACAAGCGGTGCATGAGCGCCATTATAGGTTCTCTATAGATGCAGAATCGTGCTTTCTGCAGTTGTGGGATGTTGCGGGCCGTGTTGCTAAGCACAGTATAAACACCAACCGTGGCGGTTACTTCTGCGGTCAGAAGCGACGTTTACACACGAATTCGCAGTGTCTGTTATTCTGGGTGCCTCCTGCAGTCGATGTCCGTCGTGGTGCATGGTTGCCGCACCTTTGTTGCTGCTGTCTACATCGTCGTCTACATGGTGCCGCTGCTGTGTCCAAACCATTCTGAGGCGGCATGTGTTGCCGTCACCAGCAGTGTCTATGTTCCTGTTCCTGCTTGCTTTCAGTATGTTTAGGTTGGTCCTTGTGTGGTGGCTGATTTGGATGTGCTGTGATGCCACTGCTGTGTCTGGCAAGCATGCTTCTGAAATCGTGTCTACATTGGGAACGACTAGATTACTATGTTATATGTCATGTTTGTGTGTTGTTCCGAGTGGACACACACGCACACACACACACTTACTTGCTGAGGCAGCGTCTGCATTGGGAGATCCATGTTGACGCGACCCCATCTCATGGCGCCCGTCCCTGTAGACAGCAGACACAGCTGCCGTCGTTCAACAGATCGCGATGTGACATATAACTCCTCCTGCTGCACCATGCATAGTGGGATCATCGCAACATTTGTCAGGGAGACCTGCAGTTTCGGAGATCCAAGTTTTGACCCTTCACAGTTGTTTGCTCTCTATTGATGTCAGTGTGGAAATCAGGTGGAAATTATAGACCGCATCTTCAGCCTTGGATTCACCTGATCTACTTGCAGTTTTGGACCGGCCTGAATGTGCACCATGCATCGCAGCTTCTGTCGTCCAGTTTACTGTGGACCACCCGAAAAGGTTAAAGGAGTGTGGCATGCAACAGTGACGTGCTGATGCCATCATAATCGCGCAGTCAACAAGATACGGTGTCCCTTAAAGATCACTAGGAACCGCACCATAACGACCCATAAATGCTGGACTCCTAATTTCCTGTTACTCATGCCTTCGGAGGACGTTGACATGAAACCCTCGGAGGAGGAGTCAGCCGCCGAACGTGAGTCGAAGAAGAGAAAGCGGGAAGAGGCCTAAAGCCCAGGTTGCACGACCCCCAAACCCGAAATTCTTAAGCCAATCATCCGATCAAGCTAAAAGCTCAAACGCAGGGAAAACAGGCTGTCGAACTTTGTGTGAGCTCACAGCCTGAACATTTTTGCTTTGATTTTGAGTGTTGGTTCTGCCGGATGCTTCTATAGGTGCCGTTGGTCCTTTGTTAATGATAATAGGCCGAATATGCAAGCGTAAACGCTTGTTGAACTGCCGGCGCGAGCGACGGCAGGGCACTTCGGATCTGCAGTGCTCGCGAAGTGTATCGTTGTCATAAAGCCGAAGCATCTTGCCGAAACTCCACCGGGGGGAATGACGCTTTAGGAAGGCTTCCCCGAAAAACGTGATACTTCGGGCGTTTAGGCGGATGGGCTAGTGTCTTCAAAGGGGAACCTCGAGTCCCTAAACCCGAAGTGTCCGAGTCTGAGCGCTGAAACCCGAATTCCCCATGCTGGGACACTGGCCAGGAAGATGCTCCTATGCCTGAAGCTGTCACGGACGAGGCACGGGAAGAGCAGGCATAGCTACAGATCCCGGCTTAGACCAAATCTTTCCTGCTTACTACAGTGACTACAGAGACCCCGTCGTGCAGGGACCCGGGTCGTGCAAGAAAGCATGCAGAAGCAAGAGCTACCTTGCAATGTTAGACAGATTGACAACGCTGGTAAGAGCAGCCAAAACCCTACAGATCATAGTAATACTACGAGTAATAGTAGTAGTAATCAGTAATAGTAAATTAGCTATAGTCATATTATGTAGTTGTTTGAGTATAGTCAGAGTAAGAGTAAGAGCTAGAGTTAGTGGGAATAGGAATAGAAGATACTAGAAGTAATAACACAAATAATGTTCTGCTCCCGAGTCGCGGCCACGGGTCAGGTGGAGGAGCTGGCTGAAGTCGGTGAGAGCCTCGCCGCGACTTGGCTGGAGGAGATCCGATTTCCATTCACGGCTTTCGCCACAAAACGCAATTCAACACTAAACGCTCCAAGCCCCAAATCTACGCTCTGGCTCGAAGCTGTCATTCGGGCCACCTTGGGTTTGTGGCTGCAGTTGTCAGCTCGGCTTCCGGCTTGTCTCCCAAGACCTGAGACCGCAAACAGCGAGCGTCCAACTGGGGAGTTTCAACTATTGGTAACCCTGCTCCTCTGTCTTCGCTCATCGTTTCTCGTCATTTACGACACTTCATTCTTTAGACATCTTGCTGCAATCATGTGGCCAGCGGAGGCGCCAGCTGCTTGAGAGCCCGGCTGAGCTCCGCTGGATGTCAGCTACTTCGGGCTTCCGGGGTTAATCGGCCAAGTCCTAGGATTGGGCAGCTAGAGATGTAGAAGCTTAGCGGACTTGGGGCTTGGAGTTTCTCGTCTCATGCGGAGGTGCATGCCGCACAGCACAGGTTACAGTCGCCCTGAGTAGAAGTTGTCTTGCAGAAGACTTCCCTCGGCTCTGAGGAGGCACCAGGGTAGTTTCAATGCAGGCACAGGAGCCTCAAGAGGGGCACAAGCCACTGTGGTACAGTCGCAGGAGCTTGAAAAGCCCGAAGCCGTGAAGAGCCCTTGAGCAGCCGGGGACGGTATGAATGCCCTCGTACCGACGATGATTCAGCATGATGGAGAGAGTGGGGAAGTACCCAAACTCTCATGGGCTCTGTCTTTTGCGGCTGACTACATCATCGGGGGTAGAGCAGCGCATCTCGAAGCATGCGGGCTCGTGCATCCGGTCCCAAGAAGTGTCCCAAGACAAGAGACCAGGAAGTGCGATTCAGAAAATGATCGCGATTGCTGGCTCACTCTGCAAAGCCAAGGTTGAGCAGTCGTCCCATCTGTCCGCTTGTCTACTCATGACTCTCCATCTCAATCTGTTTGTATCACATGCATCAAGACCCCGGCCGTAAGACGATGGACAGTGTTTTTTGTCTTAGAGGGAGTATCGCAGGCTGTCCTGCAGAAGCAGGCCTCGCGAGGCCAGCAGCAGCACACTTGCAGGATGTTTGTTTGTTCCGGTGTCCTTGGCAAAGGTGCCAGCTACCCTTTTTGCCGCCATGCTTGTCACAGCTACCCTTTCCCCGGCAGTTCGTCGTTTCATATGTGGCTAGCAGAGGCGTGCCATACTGGACCGCCTGACGACTGCCCTGGCTGGGGCCCTTGCATAGCCGAGCATCGGGATGTCAGGGTTTCAAGAGACGGCACAGAGGGGGATTTGGCACATCGGAACACATTGTGGTCTGAAAATGCGTGCACAGATTGGTTCATCGTTTGAACGGATTTAGCTGCAGGGTGTCAGAGCATCTAGAATAAGATGACTGGCAAAGCAGCTGGAGAAATAGCACCGCATCTTGCAACCTCAAAGTTGCAAATGGCAAGAACCATCCGGAAGTCCAGAAGCAGCACAAGCCAGACCTCGTCTAGCCTGAGGGTGCCATAGCCGAAGTCCTGCGACGCATTAGCAAGAGCCCAGTGGCCAGATCCGGTGACTCTAAGGCTGTTCGTGTTCGTTGCATTCTCAGGTATGGGAACAGCTGACTTTGCAGGAGCTGAGGCGAGAGTGTCAGGCGCGCGATGCAGGGAGCCCGGAAGTCTCCCATGGCAGAAACAGCAGGTCTTTCTTAGAATCTTGAGAATGTGGCAGACCGGTAGAGTAGCTGACCAGCTATGTCCAGTCGTCTGGGCTGCTTCGCTGGGAAGATTGAAGCTAGGTTTAAGCTTTTTCAGGTTTCAGTCGCCACGCAGGACCTGAGCCGAACCCTAAACCGCTGCAGACCTTGCCAGGCTTGTCCGAGTGTGAGTGTCACAAAACCACCCATAGACCCCAAAGTAGTTCCTTTTGGCGATTACCTTGTGGGATTCTAAATATGAACCCCCAAAAAGGAACTACTTTGGGGCCTTAGAGCAAAGCTGTTCAACTCGGCCCAGGTTGTCTTTACCGGTCTGCGGAGCCGAAGCGAGGCAGAGCAGCGACAGGAGCAGTGACCTCGAATGCTGCGAGGGGTCATAATGTAAGCGCCTTAAGAGTTAGAATAGGGTTTTGGTGGCTCTTTTGGAAAAATATACTACAATGATCGCTTCAGCCCAAGAAGTGGCTACAGGCGTTCAGGCTTTCAGACACCTGGGAGGTGTGTGTGTGTGTGTGTGTGTTGCCAGGCTTTTTTGTTTTGAGACTACTGTACGCGGCTGGCTTCCGTAGCCTCCGTCCGTCCGGGCGTCGATGAAGATTTCAAGGGAACTCTTCGATCTCAGGATCAGGTTTGCGAGATTCGGCTTTAGACGGCCTGGGTGCGTGGGCAGGTCAGCGTGAAACCCGAAGCCGCAGAACCTGAAGCCTAAAAACAGGACGGCCAAGTAAAACAAAACTCAGCCCCATGCGTCACCCGAGGCTTTGCGAGCGCCTGTTCGTGAACGCCGTTGCCTGAGGTGAATGGTGCGCAAGCAGAGTCGGACCGCACCAGCTGGCACTATCCACAGGATGCCCTCGACAGCAGTCGTCACAGTAGAAACTCGGGCTGATACACAGAATTGCAAGAGCAAACAGCATGGAATGCCAACAGCATCGAGTGAACCACACTTGCACGGGGCAGTTCTGGCATTGTCAGAATATGATAGAATACTCAGAACAGTTCGATGATCGTGGTTCCGTGATTGGGAAACCGCGTGCCGAAAGACCTCGTCCGAGTGGCGAGAGATCAAACTTATGTCGCCGATTGAAGCTAACATCGGGACGGCGTGGACACAATTCGGAATCGATC